ACAGAATAAGAGATGGCCAACTGCTCACACGACAAATAGATAAACTTGTTCAGCAGCCTCCCCAGCGCTAGGCAACGACACCGGCAGCCTCCCCAACACTCTATCACTGCACGAGCTGCCATTACCCCTTGTCTATATCTCGATCTTGATCTGGAAAAATAACAGTGAGAAAAGAATTATTTACCTGATACAAAAAATATAATTCTCTGGTGCATTAAAAGAAACTATTGTGGCAATCATTAAACATGCAACAGGAGTTTAATTATAGGAACCGCATATAGTCATGGGTAAATCTCAAAGCATCTTTGCTCGATATTCTCTTTATATGATCTGCCAAAATTAGGTGTGCCATTATGCTTGGCAAACTCAACAATTCACTTGCTATAGTTCCTTCGTACTATATTTGGCAACCTAAAAATAATGTGTAGGGGAGGGCATAAGTGTATGTCAAAGGATCATAACCCAAAGTATGTTTAGTAAATTACCACAAAAAAGCACAAACTTGAGTGTGCAAAAGAATTGTTAGCAATTGGGATGGGCATCGATGAAGAACATTTCTGATCTACAATTTGATCACCGGTAAACTTGCTCTTTTTAGAAGAAAAAAAATGGTCAGGAGAAATCACAAATTAGTTCCAGCTCCCTCCATACTTCTTATATAAATACAACCAAAAAGCAGTGATAAAAACTTCCCCAACATCAATACTCTGAAAACAAATATGCCAAAGATGGGTTTTACCTTCCCTGGAAGTTTATAGTACTCCAAAGCTTCAGCCAACCGTTGTTAACGGAGGGGAATGCATATATATGCAGGCAACCACAACCTGCTCTCGCGACCCGTCCTCTTGGACCTTGCCGCCCCGTCCCAGTGCCTCCATCTATCTGCAACACACACACACCTTGTTGCCCCGTCCCAGTGCCTCCATCTATCTACAACACACACCCAGCCTACGTTGCGCGGATACTTCAAAAAGTGCGCGTATCCAGCCGGATACTGCCCCGATACTCGGATACTGCCCCGATACTTTTCGATACGTATCCCGTAAGTATCCCTCGATATTTTGATATTAAAAAAAGAAAATAATGTTTGATACTCCTAGGATACTTCTGCGATGCGTTTTGGATACTTGAACCCCTCGTTTGACGTGAAATCCCCTCAATAATAAAGGCGCCTTTGAAGATTCCCAACATGGGCGTGAGTTTATGTGAAAACATGTCTGTCAATATTTTTTATTCAATTGAAAGGTGAGCAAGAAAGAGTCGATGCATTGATTGAAACAGCAAACCTGGTCAAATCTCACGGCCAATTAATAAAAGTGGACTAAGTGCAAGAAAATAAAGGGGTAATCTTATTGAGGTATGCTTTGACCTAGAAGCTCCTTAAATTTTTTTCTTCATATTTATAATAATTAATATTTAACATCTATATATAAACGTATCCCCGTATCCATGTTTTTAGAGAATTGACGTATCGGGCGTATCCCCGTATCGCGTATCCAATACGTATCCAAGTATCCGTGTAACGTAGCACCCAGCCGACTTCACCCAGGCCTACCCCTGTCTGCGATGGGCCTGTGCCTCCAGCGTCCGCCGTGGCCTGTAGCTCGTCCGTCGTGCGCTAAAACCTGAATCCAGGTTGTACGTTGTCCCAATCCAATCTCTCCTTTTTCCTTTCTCATCATCCGATCTTTTTTCCTCGAGGTGTGTCATTGTAGACGCAGACTTTTTTCAGTTCTATTTAATCGGCCATAGGCGCAACTCTTTGTCACCCGAGTTGTGTAGTCTCTCCTTTAATTCCTTCCTGCATATATTTATGTCAATGTGCTTACGTCCGTTCTCTCATCAAATGCCCGTGTGTTGCAACGGGAGAGCACCGGTTCCTATGAAGCACGGTTGGTCGAGTTGAGAAACTGTGTCATAGGACAAAAAAAGCAAATAAACTATCCTTCCACTACACAATGATAAAAGAAAATAACTTACTGTGCAAATGGCTCAAGTCAGTTAATTAGGAACTTCTTCATATTAACCAACTCTTCACGTGCAGCAACAGCCATCATCTCAAATATGCTGAGGCTTGTCTATAAAGGCAAGAACAAAATCAAGTTTAGGAACATCAAAAATTAATTAGAATGAGAGCAGTACGTTGATGGCATGTGGCAAGCACAAAATATTCAGTCTCATTCTTGTAGGGAACAATCAAATGCAGCACTGTGGCCACCTTTATGACTAACTTTTGTGGGATTAAAAGAGCTACATCTGTAGACATTCAACAGTTATTGGCTTCATTCTTACCCTAATTCTTAGGACATATTTGTGTTTACAACAACATTCAGGTCAGGTAACAAAGACTAACTCCCATGGTTACATGCTTGAGGTGATGCTATCATTCTGTCAGTATAATAGTAGAAATCCTCATATCCTCTTGCAATCTGTATGTACATGTTTATGTTTTTTCTACCAAGAGAAAACTATTATGGACATGAAACATAATCAAATCAGGTTGATTTCTATTTACATAAAGAATCCCATTTATATGGTCTATCTGTACAATTATATGGCTAATGGTTAGAACGAATGAATTTATTTTGGGGAACAAGAGAACGGATGATTTGAAGTGTATGTGCTCCACCACTATGGTGAGGATACACATATTGCTTATTGTGCAGGATAATAGAAACATGCAGAACGTCTTGCCTCAGATTTGCAGGAGTACTACTGGACCAGATCTTATCAGTTCAAGGAACAAATTGGAGTGGTGCGCAATAATACTTTTCTTAAAGAACTTACTTTGCATGTAAACTAATCTCTAACACAAACACATCTTCAGAGCCACCCAATAGCTCAGCCAACTTCGATCTAGACCCCAACTGTATCATACAGGAAAACAAAGTTGACTAAACCACACAAGAAGAAAGGATTCCAATATGATGAATCCGGTGATGGAGCACCTTTTGGTCCCTGCAGCAAAGTTGGATGCCACGAGGGAGAGGATATGCCGAGCGTCAGGTGGCTAGCATGACAATGTTCCCAATATTTTTTCCTGGACACTAAAAAACTAAAAACAGTTGGATTCAAGGGCAAGCCTACACGATCCTTTAATTCTCCACAAAACAAAAAAATGTAAACATAAAAAAACCATACAACTTTACATGTTTTGCCTTTTTTTTCTCAAGATGGAAAATCATAATACAGAAGGAGATAGGCCAAAAGATTGACTAAATGAATAACAGAGCAGCTCCTCTCTGTTTTTCCTGAACCACTACACTTTTTTTCCTGGACCTCTGCAAGTGACAACAGCAAGCGTCTGGATTCTCCACTGCTACCGATGCAACTTGCAGTACAATTTTGCATATTTATGCAGGTTTATATGAGGCACCAAGCCATGACCTGAGTCGTGTGCTGGCCATGATCTCAAGATGTGCACACGACAGTAAGTATTCTAGCAACATCGATTACTTGAAGACAGAGTATACATTGACAGAACTTACAATATTACTTGAAGACAGTGGACACTGACAGAATTTCATCCTCCAGCTGCGGAGCTTGGCAGGGGCGGCGGCGCTGTGAGGTGCAGCCCATGGGGAAGGTGAGGGGCGGCCGGATCCGCGGGTGCTGGCAACGGACGACGGCATGGTCGGGCGCTCGGTGAGGCAGAGGCGCGGGGGCACAACTGCGTAGGGAGGCTGCCGGTAGGTTCGATTTGGAAATCGAGGAGAGGACTGGGTGGATGGATTTTTGGATCTGGGGGATCCTGATGGGAGGAGGGTAGGCGGTGGTGGCGCTCGGCGGCGGGGTGTGTCCGGCGGCGCGCGGTGAGGGCAGGGTAGGAGGTGGTGTTGCGCTGCCGGTGGAGATGTGATTGGGAAGCCGGGACGTGCGTGGCTGGGCAATTCTTTTTCTCTCCCGTACCGGTTCGGCTGACTTACCATGAAGACTGCGGGTGGAATACCTAAACGGCAAATTTGATAATTTGCCACCCCTTACCTCCCCCTTTCATAATTTGCCCTCCCCTTGAGAATGACAGGTGGGGTTCGGGCCCGCCTGTCATTGAGATAATGGGTGACAAATTATGAAAAAAGGAAGTAAGGGGTGGCAAATTATCAAATCGCTCTACCTAAACGGAGAGGACTTTACGAACATGCTATTAGTACCACCTTGTTTATATTACGATTTTGTTTATATACGAATCGTAAAAGCGTATTATGACATGAGAAGAAAGTGTATTGTGACGGTGAACTCGACAAAGTCAATCCGTGCTTTATTAGTCAAAAAAATTCGTGCTTTATTATTAGGGAGAGACTAGCACAAATGTCCGTGCATTGCAACCGGCGTAGACTCACAAAATCATATCCATGTGCTATTATGCACATAGCAAAAGTGCCCGTGCGTTGCAACAATACAAAATAACTAACAATCTATCCCTAATAATAAAGCATGGATTGACTCCGTGGGTTCACCGTCACAATACGCTTTCTTCTCATGTCATAATATGCTTTTATAATTTCTATGGACAAAATAGTAATATAAATAAGGTGGTACTAATCTACCGTCCGACGCCCGTCTCAAAGTCCAAACATAACTCCTCCTTCCCCCGCCGTCTTTTATGCCAACGCATCCTACCCTCCTCTTGAAACAGGCCCGCACGAATCCTTCCTCCCTCGCATGTCCGTCGCCGCCGCCGCCAGCACCGGCCACCTAGCCCCAGGCGCGGGACAGATCTAGGAATCAGGAGGGGATGGACGGAGTATGGCGAACAGGCCGACGGGGATGTGCTCTCTCCTCCCGCTACCAAGGCCCGTGGGCGGGGCGCCCGACCTCTAGACGACGGTGGCGATAACCAAGGACGGATGTGCATCCTGGCATGTCAACTCAAGATGATCAAGTGAGGTCTGCATAGGGTGGTGGCTGGCGGGTTGGACGCGCAGAACTTCGGCGGCGGCCGGATCCAGGTGAGCGGCGACGAGACCTTGCAAGGCGTCGGGGTTCTCCGGGGCGGCACCATGGTTGCTCCAGCGTGCTCCTGTAAGAAAAGGAGGGAGGACGAGGGAGAGGGAGAGAGAAAACCGGGAGGAAGGAGAGAAACGAGGGGAGGCACGGCAGGGAGCTGTGCTGCTGGTTTCTCCGGTGAAGAGCAGATAGGGCGCGGACGTTCGCGGGAGTGGGCGGCATTTGGCGACGGAGGCGCTGGTCGGGGAGCGCGTGGTGCGAGCTCCCAGGGGGAGATGGACGAGGACGAGGACGAGGACGGTCTGGTGCGCTGCTGGTGCGGGGGGGGGGGGCATGGGAGAGGGACGATTGCTCTTGCTGGTGTGCTCCTATTAGTTGCATATTATACTATTGCTTTCCTGTTGTTTGTTGATTGATTGATGTTGCTGATGCTACTACTTTGATGCAGCAGCTGCTAATCTCATGTGGAGGACGCGCAGGGGCGGGCGGTGAGCGAATTGAATCTGGGAATTCACCCAGGGAAGCAACATATAATCTTTTGATCTTTGTCTTGCCTCCAGTGCAAGTTCAGTTTGTCCAGCAGTGCTCTTGACAAATTTCTAGAATGAAGAATGAAATACTTGGAGATAGGCTACCAATTCGGCAAGAATATATATGTCATGGATCTGTTTATAACTATTTTACTGTGCTTAGATTTGGTCGGCAGGTTTTAGGTTGTACTGCAGCCTAAATGTGATCCTGCTTGTTGTTGCTATGCATTTTATATTTCCAGATATACTATAATTTCCCCGTTTTTAACCAGTTTGGGGCGTATAAGAAGAGAAAGTGAATAACTGAATGCAATGGCAGGTGTTGAACTGAGGTTTACACATTGGTGCACATGATGTGTCAATCAAACATACTATAGCCCTCATATAATGGCTGTTGTTGTTTGCAAAGTAAGAAGTGAATGATGCAAAGAGATTTATGCTGTAGAAGAACTTCCAAGGTAGTCTCCGAAGCCCTTCCATTGGAATTTGACAAAATTCCCAACCACATAGGTTACACACAATTTAAGCCTCCATGGTACTAAAAATGCCATGTCTGTTGGTCCTTTGTTTAGAAATGTTTTAGTCACATATTCTTATGTAATTACGGTATGACAAAAATAGCACTTCAGGCCCTTATTAACCGTGTTTCTCCTTTGTTTTGGTCTTCTCTTAATTTGTTTGTTTGCTTAAGGATACCCCTAATTTTCTAAAAAAATGCATGTGAGTAAAGATTACAGTGGCTCAAATAGCATGTAGATTTAATAAACCGAATAATTGATTGTTGGTGTTGTTTCTAGCGTATCACATATAGTAGCAGAGACTCAGCATGGGGGTCTGCCGCTTGAAGAGATGCAAATGTTGCAACTTCACCAGAGGTTCTATGTTGGAGTTCTGTGTGTCGGTGGTTCAAGGTTCTTTCCCTTATTCTATTTTTCTCTCTGCAGTTTTTGTGTAATGTATGATTTATTCGTTCTAAAAGTTGTATGGTAACGAGCGAGCCTAATCTGAAAATATATTAGACTAACGATTGCTTTAGTTTGTTAGATGGGCATGATGTAGTTGTAGGAGACACATGCCTTCTATGTTCATGCCATTGTTTTTTTCAATTTTTAATTTGCAGACTTTACATTCCACATTATCTTCCGCTGCCATTGCGAAATGCCTATATATATATATGGTTATAAATCCTCTATGATTATAGAGTGCAAGCTACCTTTTGAGACATGTAAACTGAAGCCTGAAAAAATGCAGAATGAAAAACGCCTTGATATTCAGTAGCAGAAGTGAGAACATGTATATATTCTGTTGGTGAAAAGTTTTCAGATATACAGTAGCAGTAGCAGTAGAAATGCGCCAGGGGATGTGAACGCCATAGAAATCGCAGAGGCCTACCTTGATATCTGAAAAACGCCTTGATATTCAGTAGCAGTAGCAGTATGAAATGCGCCAGGTGTTGGGAAACGTAGTAATTTCAAAAAAATTCCTACGCACACGCAAGATCATGGTGATGCATAGCAACGAGAGGAGAGAGTGTTGTCTACGTACCCTCGTAGACCGACAGCGGAAGTGTTATGACAATGCAGTTGATGTAGTCATACGTCTTCACGGCCCGACCGATCAAGCACCGAAACTACGACACCTTCGAGTTTTAGCACACGCTCAACTCGATGACGATCCCCGGACTCCTATCCAGCAAAGTGTCGGGGAAGAGTTTCGTAAACACGACGGCGTGGTGACGATCTTGATGTTCTACCGTCGCAGGGCTTCGCCTAAGCACCGCTACAATATTATCGAGGAGTATGGTGGAAGGGGGCATCGCACACGGCTAAAAAAACCGATCACGTGGATCAACTTGTGTGTCTAGAGATGCCCCCTGCCCCCGTATATAAAGGAGCAAGGGGGGAGGCCGGCCAGCCATTGGGCGCGCCAAGGAGGAGGAGTCCTCCTAGTAGGAGTAGGACTCCCCTCTTTCCTACTCCTACTAGGAGGGGGAAACGAAGGGGGAGAGGGAGAAGGAAAGGGGGGCGCCGCCCCCCCCTCTCCTAGTCCAATTTGGACCAGAGGGGGAGGGGGCGCGCGGCCCACCCTGGCCGCCCCTCTCTCTCTCCACTAGGGCCCATAATGCCCATTACTTCTCCCGGGGGGGTTCTGGTAACCCTCCGGCACTCCGGTTTTCTCCGAAATCACCCGGAACACTTCCAGTGTCCGAATATAGCCGTCCAATATATCAATCTTTATGTCTCGACTATTTCGAGACTCTTCGTCATGTCCGTGATCACATTCGGGACTCCAAACAAACTTCGGTACATCAAAATATATAAACTCATAATGAAACTGTCATCGTAACGTTAAGCGTGCGGACCCTACGGGTTCGAGAACAATGTAGACATGACCGAGACATGTCTCCGGTCAATAACCAATAGCGGAACCTGGATGCTCATATTGGTTCCCACATATTCTTCGAAGATCTTTATCGGTCAGACCGCATAACAACATACTTTGTTCCCTTTGTCATCGGTATGTTACTTGCCCGAGATTCGATCGTCGGTATCTCAATACATAGTTCAATCTCGTTACCGGCAAGTCTCTTTACTCGTTTCGTAATACATCATCTCGCAACTAACTCATTAGTTGCAATGCTTGCAAGGCTTATGTGATGTGCATTACCGAGAGGGCCCAGAGATACCTCTCTGACAATCGGAGTGACAAATCCAAATCTCGAAATACGCCAACCCAACATGTACCTTTAGAGACACCTGTAGAGATCCTTTATAATCACTCAGTTAAGTTGTGACGTTTGGTAGCACACAAAGTGTTCCTCCGGCAAACGGGAGTTGCATAATCTCATAGTCATAGGAACATGTATAAGTCATGAAGAAAGCAATAGCAACATACTAAACGATCGGGTGCTAAGCTAATGGAATGGGTCATGTCAATCACATCATTCTCCTAATGATGTGATCCCGTTAATCAAATGACAACACATGTCTATGGTTAGGAAACATAACCGTCTTTGATTAGCGAGCTAGTCAAGTAGAGGCACACTAGTGACGTTTAGTTTGTCAATGTATTCACACAAGTATTATGTTTCCGGATAATACAATTCTAGCATGAATAATAAACTTTTATCATGATATAAGGAAATAAATAATAACTTTATTATTGCCTCTAGAGCATATTTCCTTCAGTCTCCCACTTGCACTAGAGTCAATAATCTAGATTACACAGTAATGATTCTAACACCCATGAAGCTTTGGTGCTGATCATGTTTTGCTCGTGGAAGAGGCTTAGTCAACGGGTCTGCTACATTCAGATCCGTATGTATCTTGAAAATCTCTATGTCTCCCACCTGGACTAGATCCACGTCTCTTGATGTGCTTGGTTCTCTCGTGAAATCTGGATTCTTTGCCAAGGCAATTGCATCGGTATTGTCACAAAAGATTTTCATTGAACCCGATGCACTAGGTATGACACCTAGATCGGATATAAACTCCTTCATCCAGACTCCTTCGTTTGCTTCCGAAGCAGCTATGTACTCCGCTTCACATGTAGATCCCGCCACAACGCTTTGTTTAGAACTGCACCAACTGACAGCTCCACCGTTTAATGTAAACACGTATCCGGTTTGCGATTTAGAATCGTCCGGATCAGTGTCAAAGCTTGCATCAACGTAACCATTTATGATGAGCTCTTTGTCACCTCCATATATGAGAAACATATCCTTAGTCCTTTTCAGGTATTTCAGGATGTTCTTGACCACTGTCCAGTGATCCACTCCTGGATTACTTTGGTACCTCCCTGCTAGACTTATAGCAAGACATACATCAGGTCTGGTACACAACATTGCATACATGATAGAGCCTATGGCTGAAGCATAGGGTGTTGGGGAACGTAGTAATTTCAAAAAAAATCCTACGCACACGCAAGATCATGGTGATGCATAGCAACGAGGGGGAGAGTGTTGTCTACGTACCCTCGTAGACCGAAGCGGAAGCGTTGACGCAACGTAGAGGAAGTAGTCGTACGTCTTCCCGATCCAACCGATCCAAGCACCGTTACTCCGGCACCTCCGAGTTCTTGGCACACGTTCAGCTCGATGACGCTCCCCGGGCTCCGATCCAGCAAAGCTTCGGGGAGGAGTTCCGTCAGCACGACGGCGTGGTGACGATCTTGATGTTCAACCGTCGCAGGGCTTCGCCTAAGCACCGCTACAATATGACCGAGGTGGAATATGGTGGAGGGGGGCACCGCACACGGCTAAGGAACGATCACGAAGATCAACTTGTGTGTTCTAGGGTGCCCCCTTGCCCCCGTATATAAAGGAGCCAAGGGGAGGGGGCGGCCGGCCAAGGAGGGCGCGCCAAGGGGGAGTCCTACTCCCACTGGGAGTAGGACTCCCTTCTTTCCTAGTTGGAGAAGGAGAAGTGGGAAAGAGGAGGAAGAGGGAAAGGAAAGGGGGGGCGCCACCCCCTCTCCTTGTCCTATTCGGACTAGGGAGGGGAGGGGCGCGCGCCCACCTCTTGCCTCTTTCCTCTTCTCCCTTAGGGCCCATGTAGGCCCAATAACCCCCGGGGGGTTCCGGTAACCCCCCGGTACTCCGGTAAAATCCCGATTTCACCCGGAACGATTCCGATATCCAAATATAGGCTTCCAATATATCGATCTTTATGTCTCGACCATTTCGAGACTCCTCGTCATGTCCATGATCACATCCGGGACTCCGAACAACCTTCGGTACATCAAAATACATAAACTCATAATGAAACTATCATCGTAACGTTAAGCGTGCGGACCCTACGGTTCGAGAACAATGTAGACATGACCGAGACACATCTCCGGTCAATAACCAATAGCGGAACCTGGATGCTCATATTGGTTCCTACATATTCTACGAAGATCTTTATCGGTCAGACCGCATAACAACATATGTTGTTCCCTTTGTCATCGGTATGCTACTTGCCCAAGATTCGATCGTCGGTATCTCAATACCTAGTTCAATCTCGTTACCGGCAAGTCTCTCGTTCCGTAATACATCATCTCACAACTAACTCATTAGTTGCAATGCTTGCAAGGCTTATGTGATGTGCATTACCGAGAGGGCCCAGAGATACCTCTCCGACAATCGGAGTGACAAATCCTAATCTCGAAATACGCCAACCCAACATGTACCTTTGGAGACACCTGTAGAGCACCTTTATAATCACCCAGTTACGTTGTGACGTTTGGTAGCACACAAAGTGTTCCTCCGGCAAACGGGAGTTGCATAATCTCATAGTCATAGGAACATGTATAAGTCATGAAGAAAGCAATAGCAACATACTAAACGATCGGGTGCTAAGCTAATGGAATGGGTCATGTCAATCAGATCATTCACCTAATGATGTGATCCCGTTAATCAAATAACAACTCTTTGTCCATGGTTAGGAAACATAACCATCTTTGATTAACGAGCTAGTCAAGTAGAGGCATACTAGTGACACTCTGTTTGTCTATGTATTCACACATGTATTATGTTTCCGGTTAATACAATTCTAGCATGAATAATAAATATTTATCATGATATAAGGAAATAAATAATAACTTTATTATTGCCTCTAGGGCATATTTCCTTCAGTCTCCCACTTGCACTAGAGTCAATAATCTATATTACACAGTAATGATTCTAACACCCATGGAGCCTTGGTGCTGATCATGTTTTGCTCGTGGAAGAGGCTTAGTCAACGGGTATGCTACATTCAGATCCGTATGTATCTTGCAAATCTCTATGTCTCCCATCTGGACTAGATCCCGGATGGAATTGAAGCGTCTCTTGATGTGCTTGGTTCTCTTGTGAAATCTGGATTCCTTTGCCAAGGCAATTGCACCAGTATTGTCACAAAAGATTTTCATTGGACCCGATGCACTAGGTATG